CTTCGGGTTCAATCCCCAGTCTGGGCACATATGGGAGGCAACTGGTCAGTGTTTCTCATGTCGATGTCTTTGTCTCCCTCCCATCCCTGTCTCTTTATAGATAAATAAAATAAAATAAAATAAAATGAATGATTTAGAAGCTGAGACATGAAGGATAGATGAGAAGGAGTCAGCTGAATTAAAAGGGGGAGAGGAGTTCAGAAGATGAGAGAGAAGATGGTGCATTTAGGGAGGGGTCCAGGGCATTGTGCCCAGTCCTTTAAGCCATGAACAATGGGAGCCATTGAAGTGTTTTAAGCAGGAGAATGACATATTCATATTCAGGTTTGCATTTATAAAATTCACTGGAATTGAAATTAGAATGGGTAGAAAAAGGACATTTAATAGAAATAGAGATGGATTTGAAGACAAATAATGTTGACTTTGAGATAGATCTTCCAAATATGAGTTATCATGGCAATTGAATGGCTGCTTTTCACAGCTGTATCAAGTCAGATCAGTGTAATTCAAAAGAAGAAATTTAAAATGGGGCCTATGATACAAATTTTTGGCAGAGCTAAGTCAGCAAACGGGATGGTTGACACAACAGTAGGAAGCTCTGGGGTAGGAGGTGGGAGTTCAGGTGCTGGGGTAATCTGCAGAAGCTAGAACCATGGAAGAGTCACAGTTACTGCTGCCTGTGCCAGAGGGGTTAGGGAGAGAAATACCAGGCTTCTCTGCCCTCTTTTCAAATGTGGTGTGTGGTTTTTTGTTTGTTTGTTTGTTTGTTTGTTTTTAATTAACATTGATTTTGGAGAGGAAAGGAGAGAGGGATAGAAACGCCAATGATGAGAGAGATAGAAACACCAATGATCTCCTCTCCCCCTTTTAATTCAGCTGACTCCTTCTCATTGATTGGCTGCACGCCCCTCATTGAGTACTGAGCCCTCAACCCGGTCATGTGCCTGGACCGGGAATAGAACTATGACCTTCTGGTTTATGGGTTGATGCCCAACCACTGAGCCATGCCAGCTGGGCTTTCCCTCCTCTTTTGCGATCTTCTCCTAGTGCTTCCCATGGGCCGAACCTAACTGGAAGCCAATAGGTTGGGAGCTGGGAAATGGAGTTTACAAGAGCAGCCCCATAATACAGAGTGGAGCAGAGGGAAGGTGATGAGTGGATCTGAGAGTGAACAGGCAGATTAGCACAGCACTCTACCACAAACATCACTGTCCTGGTGCATGAAAGGTCCTGTGCTCTTATATGACCTGAAAGAATCTTTTCACAAATTCAGGAATGGTTTGGGATAGAGTCAGGTATTTAAACATCTTGCTTCTTACACTCTTCCTCATTTTGGGCAGAGTCTATGCTGATGAGTCTAGGCCAGTGGTCGGCAAACTGTGGCTCGTGAGCTACCTGCGGGTGGCTCTTTGGCCCCTCGAGTGTTCTAATGCCACTTCTTCAAAATAGATTCGCCCAGGCCGAAAACCGACTTCTGCGCTTGGGCCACAAAGTTTCAATCGCACTTGTACATGCGTACCCGCATGTGATATTTTGTGGAAAAGTCACACTCAAGGGGCCAAAGAGCTGAAAGGTGGCTCGTGAGCTGCGGTTTGCCAACCACTGATCTAGGTTATAACTCTGCAGAGAGAAGTCCAAGTTTCGTAGGGACATACCTGTTCTTTGTTTGTTTGTATTTGTTGTTATTTTTGCTATCTTGTAGACCCAGAGCCATGTATTGCAGAAGGGACTGGGCAAAGGTCCTGACTGGGTAGCTCATCATCCTAATATGCAAGGTTGCGGGTTCTATCCCTGGTCAGGGCACATACAGGAAGCAACCAATGAATGCAAAAGCAAATGGAAGAACAAACCAATGTTTCCCTCTTGTTCTTTCTTCTTTCTGCTCTCTAAAATCAATACATAACATTTTTTAAAAGGGGCCTAGGCAAGGGAGGAGCAGAGGTCCTGAGAACTCTCTCTTTTCTCTCTGGAAAACAGGACAGTTTGTATTCTGTGAAGGTGCATGAAGGGAGGGGCTATAGAACTGGGCAGTGTGCTACTCTGAACATCTTTGATAAGAATAGGTCTGGTGGCTTTTGCTATGCAAAGCTCTTATCTGCTTAGGACTGTGGTGTTTCTAATTTCATCCAAATGCAGGGTGTAGATGTAATTTGGGGTTTCCCAAGAATAAGTAGGTCTGGATTTGATCACTCTGCAAGACAAGTACGTGTACCTGAGACTTTCACTGAAATTATGAAAACTGGCTTTTCTCTCTTCCTGGTTTTTTTCTCTTTGACAGGATGGCGATGTTATAGCCCCACAAATAACACCTCTAAAACCGGAATGGAATTGCTCAAATAGAGCTGAGAGTCCAGCTTCTTCCCACGCAAAGAGAAAACTGTATAGCAGTATGTAATCATTTGTTTACGAAAGTCCCTCACCCCAGCACAATTAAGTAATTGTGGGAATTTGATGAGAGTGCTCCTATGCAGAGCAAGTACTTTTATTTTATATTTTGAATGTATACCTATGCTGAAGCTAAACGATTTTTATTCAAAGAAACTAAAAGGTAATAGGCAAATCTTGCTATGTATGCTATAAAAAACATTACCTATTTTTAGTATTAATTAAAGCCTTTCTCTTTTAGCAGTCTATTTTCTTAGAAAACTTTTTGACATATGATTGTGTGTTTTTAAAAAGAAAAAGAAAAGATACAAGGGCATACTTTGGAATTTGAAGTTGGGATTGAACAGCCAAGGTTAAAACCAACCAAAATCCTAGCTTCTGAGGAAATGTCACCTTGAGGACATCTCCTTTTAAGTGATCTAAACATTAGAGTGAGACACCTCCCCTCACCCTTTTAGCCAAGTTGGGGTAAACCAGGAATGGGCTCCAATTCCTCCGTGAGAAGCCTGATTCAATTATTGAAAAAATCGGAGGCCTCTGGCCTCTGAAGTGGGCTATAAAATACCTTTTAGGAGACCCTACCCTCAGTGGCAGAGGGGTCCCCCAAACCAGGTTGTCCTCTGGGCCAGTTGTGGCTCCAGGCCCAGGCAGCTTCCTTCTCTCCTAACACTCACTGCCCATGTCGTGGCTATTCCACTGCCCCGCCTGGAAAAGGAGCTCCCCTCCGACCTGCTCCTGCATCTCGGGAGCTGAGCGGAGGCCGCCACCGGAACCCTCCTGAGGGCTGCTCAGAGCTGGACTTGGTTGGTGCTGGTTCAGTGCATCTTATGGTTTCAGAGCAAAGACTGAACTGCTTGTGCTGAGCTGAGTGATTACCAGGGCATTGCAGGTTCCCCTTTGTAAGTTGATTCCGTTACCTTCAGCGGCGGAGTGGACGCCACTGTGGTGAGCAGCGCTCCTCTGCTGAGCAACGTGCCCCATCCCACCCCCACCCCCCACGCACATTTCCGGTTCTACAGAAATTCACCAAGAGCCAAGTCTGGGGTTAGAGCCAAAGCCAGTGGTGGCCAGAGGATCCCGAAAACGCAAGGCAGTGAGGAATGGCAGTCATTTCTTTGTGAGCCCTTCACCTCTCATGGCTGTGGCCGGAGTGAGTGGAGGAAGGGAGGAATTCACAGCACAGGCCAGCAGGTTATCCCGACTCTGAGGAGTGAAGCTGCCTCCCACTCTATCACCAGGTTCTGCTGACACTAGAGTGAGAAATATTAGGAATGTCTGCCATTCTGCATAGTCTCACTCCCCTTCCTCCACCCTGAGGTAGATAATCAAGAATGGACCCTAATTAATAGGAGAATAATTAAAACTCTTTGCTCACTCCCACTGGGATGCCATGTAGGTGGGGATGTGTTCACATGGGGGCTCGAGGAGCACAGGAGAAGTCAGCCGTGGTGCTGGGCCAGGCCTGTTTTGGCCATCGTGCCTCCAAAACATCCGGGGAGGAGAACTCTAGGCCTCAGACCCCGGGCACCCAGACCCGTAGTGAAGAATGTAGTTTTTCTGCTAAGATTGTTTTATTTTTGCAACTCCTACCTTTAAACCATTGTGGTTTACTTTGGAATTTTGTAGTCCCGATTCTGTATCATTGTGCTGATAAGTAACTTTATTGCATATAAGGCAGCTGCACTTTATGCTTTTTTACAATTATTTTAATGATGAGAACCATGTGTCATTTACAAGGTTAGATTTATTTTAAGAAACATCTTCACTGTTTGTATAAAAATGGAGACTTGAACAGCTTAGTCTTTGGAGTTACTGAATGTTATCACCTTGAGACTGTAAACAGAACTGCAAGTTTAAATGACTGGTTACTTAATTTGGGTAAGGAATTAAAACCTGCAATAAAGCTTCATAATGTATCTCCATCTTAAAACCAGAGGTGTCTTCCTTAATGACTCACACTGTGTGCCCAGTTTTGACCTTTTTGTGCAAAGGAAACGGGTCTACGAATTTACCCAAGTAGTTTTTAGTACCTCAATGCTATGTTGGGTCTGTGAGAGAGGGGATGGTATTTAACAGGGTGTATGTTATTTAACTTTTCTTACTCAATCATGGCAAACAATAGCATAATAAAGAATGTTTGCCGAAACTGGTTTGGCTCAGGGGATAAAGCGTCAGCCTGTGGACTGAAAGGTCCCAGGTTCGATTCTGGTCAAGGGCATGTACCTTAGTTGTGGGTACATCCCCAGTGTGGGGTGTGCAGGAGGCAGCTGATCGATGTTTCTAACTCTCTATCCCTCTCTCTTCCTCTCTGTAAAAAAAAAAAAAATCAATAAAATGTATTAAAAAAAAAAAAAAAAAGAATGTTTTCCTCTGGTCAGAGGTAGGTACAAGCATGGGAAGGGATCTGGATTTTTCTTAGTTTTCTGAGTTCCTGTTGTGCCTGAAAACTATCCTCCCTCTGTTTTAAATTCCCCGAGGTTCCCATCTACAGAGTTTTAGCTTCTGTATTAAATATGCATATTGTTCATTTGCTGCTTTCATATCTTCCTCATAAAATTAGAGATTTTATGAGGAAGTATCTAGCTCATAGCCCTCACTGTTCTAAAAATAGAATGATACTACTAGAGTCTTTATTAATTTCACTGATCCCAGATATCTGTGGTTTGACAATAGTCTTTAAGTTAAAATAATTTCCAAAACATATAAAGTAGAATCCCATTTTTGTAAGATATACATATATATATATATATATATATATATATATATATATATATAAAATGAAAAATTGTTTGGAAGGTTATACATAAAAATAGTAGTGTTTGTTGTGGGTTTTTTTTTTTTTTTAAGGGGGGTAAATTTGGCAATTTAAATTTTTAATGTCTTCTGGTTTTTTTCTACAATAAACATGTATTAGTTGCATAATTTTTTGAAAGATAATTTTCATGAGGGACTTGGCACTGCTCAGGTGAGGTGTAGCTGGCTTTCACTCCTTCTGTTCCGGCCCCATGCCTGTCTTGGGTCCCCAGGCCACCAGGAGGGTGGCTCACAGCCACAGTCAGCATTAGGACACGTCACCATCCGTGTTTTGGGGCAGAATGGCCTGCCCCATGTAAGGGCCTGGACGGCATCCATGAGCAGGTCGGAGCACCTGCTACCTCAGGAAGCTGCCCACTGTGGGGCCATCAGCTCAGAACCCAGGCCTCCAGCTCCTTGATGCAGAACTGCTCCTGCCGGGCCAGTACCTCATTGTTGAAGGTCGCACAGGGGTGGCTTCCTCCGTGATACAAGTCTCCATCCAGCCACAGCCCGAAGTGGCCACTAAAGAGAAGAGGAAAGTCTTGGCATGGCTCTCCTGGGTGTTGAGACCTTTCAGATCCACACCGTGATGGCCTATATTTCAAAGTCCCTTAAACCGATTTATCCTGAATTGTTGAAGATTCCACACACCTTATTCCCCACAGGTTTTAGAGGGGTTTTTTTGTTTGTTTGTTTTTACAGTTCAGTGGTTTTAATAAATATGTACAGTGGTGCAACGCCCACCACAGGATTAGAACGTTTGGAATGTATTTAAGATGGCAAGGTTTGTTTTCTTTTTTTGCTTTTTGTTGTTGGTAATCCTCACCCAAGGATATTTTTTTCCATTGATTTTTAGAGAGAGTAGAAAGGAGAGGGAGAGATACAGAGAGAGAAACATCAACGTGAGAAAGGCATTCATTGTTTGCTTCCTGCACCTGTCTGAAATATGGACAATCTAGCCTGCCCTTGACGGGAATCAAACCCAGGACCTTCATGGGTCGACACTCGAACCATTGAGCCAAACTGGCTAGGGCAAGATGGCAAGGTTTAACCGATGGAGTGAATCTCACAGATGTGGACTCTGAGCCCAACACACTTCAGAGAGCGTCCACGTTAATTCCTTCACCTGGCAGCAAAGCTAGGCGGGAGCTGGGAAGTGAGTCGCTGCAAGGCAGAAAACGCTGGTGTGTCCTGTGTCCAGCCGCCTCTGGTCCAGCAGCTGCCTGGTCCTAATCAGTGTTGTCATCTCTGCCCTCGGGATAGGATTGATTCTGCCTCAATTTGCAGGTCATACCAGGGGCAAGACTAACCTTTTCCTCCTAACCCACTCCACTCCCACCCCCAACACACACATATACACCCCCTTAAGCAGGGTCCCGGGCAGACTCCAGTGAGTTACATTCCCTAGGATTGTAGTGCTGACAACTAAATTTGAGGCTACCCTCATCCAACCATGAGGAATGCTCTTCCCAAAGTGACATAAATTCGGACTAAGCTGTACCAACTGTAAACACTCAGAGGGAGCGTCATGCCATCCTCTTTCCTCAATGTTGTCTTAGAGGGAAGTTGGGCTGCTGAAGGGAGAGGCCTGAAAATTAACCACCAGCCTCCCCATTTTATAAGACAACCTAGCTCGGCCTTTCTGGGCAAGAGAAGGGACCAGAACACAGACCACCCTGAGACTCAGGGGCGACTGAGACACGCACCTGCCACTGCCCATCATCAGTGAATCCAAGTCTCCTTTGACAAAGAAAGAGTTGCTTCCTGTCCACTTAAAGACCTGGCAAGACAGAAAAAGGCTCCAGTTACCGCCCTGCAGTTCAACTCCACACCACTGGGTGGCAGTATTGTAAAGGGAATGGAACTTCCAGGTCCCAACTTAGCCCGGGAAGTATTCTGAGCTCCTGGCTCTTGAGATTTTTTGCCAGTCTCTCTGGAGTTCAACTCCTCTTGCTCTCCAGCCTGAATCCACAGCCCCTCTGTTCTATTAATAGAGCAGAATCTCTGAGGCTTACTGCTTCCAAGCTGGAGAGAGGAGGGGAAAAGCCCTGGTCAGGAGTCGGACCCTAATTCTACCATTAACTAACTGTCCCCTCATTTCTCACTGAAGGTAGCACCACGCCTGCCCACCCCTCAGTGCTGCCTCACACCCAGCAAGTCTTGCAGGCCCACCCCGACAACCCCTGATTACCACCATTTCTGTCCTACCCTTCTCTACTCATTCTTGCCCACACATCCACGCCAAGTCACTCCTTGCTGGATCACAGCTTCTACTGTCTCCTGCCCACAGCCCATCTCTACACTATACTCTGAGTGATCAATTTAGAATCGAATCAGATATCATTTCTAAAGCCCTCCTATGGCTTCCTAGTGCAATGGGAACAAAATCCAACTCCTCGCTATAGCTGGAAGCCAAGCCGGCTCGGAACCCTGATTTTCTCTCTGACCTCTTCCTTCCTTACTGACTGCACTTCAGCTACACCAGCCTTTCTAACCCTGGGACACGCAAAGCTATTCCTGCTTGAGGACCTTCACACCTACTGATCCCTATGCCCAGATGGTCTTCCTGCAGATCCTCAAATGGCTCACTTCTCATCTTTTATCTCAGATATCCCAGAAAAGTTTCCTGGACCACCCTATCTAAAGTAGCCCTTCCTGCCGAAACCGGTTTGGCTCAGTGGTAGAGCGTCGGTCTGCGAACTGAAAGGTCCCAGGTTCGATTCCGGTCAAGGGCATGTGCATTGGTTGCGGGCACATCCCCAGTAGGGGGTGTACAAGAGGCGGCTGGTCAATGTTTCTCTCTCATCAACGTTTCCAGCTCTCTATCTCTCTCCCTTCCTCTCTGTAAAAAAATCCATAAAATATATTTAAAAAAAATAAAGTAGCCCTCCCAGACCTTTTTTCCTCTCACTGAAGTGCCCTGTGCATGTGTAATAGCTTTCCCCCTAACATAAAAGCTCTGTGAGACCTGTCTTGACTCCTGGCAGTGTTCCTAAGACATAGGATAGATGTGTTATCTTGTTTGTTTTTATTGATTCTTTTTTGAGAGAGAGAAAAATACCTATTTGTTATTCTACTTATTTATGCATTCATTGGTTGCATCTTGTATGTGCCCTGAATGGAGATTGAACCTGCAACCTTGGTGTATCAGACAACTGAGCTATCCTGCCAGGACGGTATAGATGTTCATTGAACAAATAAGTTATTCCAGAGTTAATTCAGTTAATACAAAGATTTTTAAAGGGCTGCAAGAGCATAGTATATTATTATATATAATTAGTTGTAAAAAAATGCTATGAACAAACAAAGGATTTTTAGCACACACAAAAAAAAGGTACTAATAAAAGATAAGCCTGGTCTCAGAAGAGATGAGATAATATATATAAATTTTTAAAATATATTTTATTGATTTTTTACAGAGAGGAAGGGAGAGAGCTAGAGAGCTAGAAACATCGATGAGAGAGAAACATCGACCAGCTGCCTCTTGCACACCCCCTACCGGGGATGTGCCCGCAACCAATGTATATGCCCCTGTCCGGAATCGAACCTGGGACCTTTCAGTCCACAGACTGGCACTCTACCACTGAGCCAAACCGGTTTCAGCGAGATAAGATAATATTAACAAGTGACCATGAGAAGACAGAACCATTCAAGTCCTCTTCTACGTTCATCAAGGAACATGACCTTCGAACTTGAAGGAGTAAGGTCAACATTGCTACAGAAGGAATTAAGACCATCTTCATGATGCTGCTTAGAGTAGTGATCAAGGAACTACTGGGAATTCATGAAGAACATAAGTCCCAAAAAGATCAAAGACAGGCACAAATTAACCAGTTTTTGAAAAGGTGCAATTCCATAACCATAGGCTATGAAGACCGATAGCAAGCCCCTGAGAAAATTACTTATTTCTTTCTTAAGCATTTAGCACCAGGTGCTATTTTAGGTAATGGGTAGGATGGTGACCATAACAGACAAAAATGCCTGCCTCATGGAACTTCCACTCTAGTTGGAGGAGGCAAATCCATAAGGAAAATAAATAGGTGGTGAGAGATGCTAAGGAGAAAAAGGCAGAAAAGGGCAAACGGGGTTCCCAGGGGGTACAGTATTGTAAATGTAAATCAGGTGACCAGGGAAGGCCTCTCTGAGATGGTGACATCTGAGCAGAGACCTGAAGGAGGTGAGAACTAAGCCATGTGCACATCCAATGGAGGGCGCTATAGGCAGAACATCATGTGCAAAGGCCCCGAGGCAGTAGCAAGCCAGCATGTTTAATGACCAGCTCAGAGGTCAGTGTGGCTAGAGCACAGCGAGGTAAAGCCTAGCTGGTGTGGCTCAGTGGTTGAGTGTCAATCCATGAACCAAAGGTCACAGGTTTGATTTCCATTCAGGGCACATACCCAAGTGTGGGCTCAATCTCCAGTAGGTGGGGAGCAGGAGACAGCCAACTGGTGATGTTTCTTTCTCGTTGATGTTTCTACCTATCTTCTTCTTTTCTCTCTCTCTCTCTCAAAAAAAAAAAAAAAATCAATAAAAACATATTTTAAAAGAAAGAAACAACAGCAGCAAGAGGCCAGAAGATGTAGGGACTTGTAGGTTATTGTCAAGACTTTGGCTTTTCTCTAGTGGGAAAGGAAGCCATGGGCAGCATGGAGTCAGCGACATGCTCTGACTTAGCTTTTAAAGGGATCGTTTCATCTTCTGTGATATGGGAGGTAGAAGCATTCGGAGGCTAGAGCAGGAACACAGGCAAATAATGATGGTGGCTTGAACCAGGATGACTGCACAGGTGGGTTCTGCACGTAGACAGAAAGAGAAGGCAGGACAGTCAGACTTGGTTGGCAGCTCAGATGTACGGTGCAGAAGAGATGTTAAGAAGGACTCCACATTTTTTGGTCTCGGCAGCGGGGAAGAGGGAGGTGCCAGTGAACTTGCTTGGGGAAGATGGCGGGAGGAGCTGTTTTATGGGGGAGAGTCAGGAGCTCAGTCTTGGACCTGTGAGGTTTGAAATGCCATGTTTGAGATTTGTGGAGCCGCTGGATAGTGTTTGGATGTCTGTGGGTTTGGAGTCCAGGGGAAGAGGCCATGAGCACATGGACGGCACAGAAAACTGTAAGAATGGATAGGACCCTGCAGGAGAAGAGGGTGGTCAGAGAAGAGCGGAGAACCCAAAACTGGGCTCTGGGACCTTGTGCCATTAAAAGGTTGGAGAAGACGAGGAGGAACAAACAAAGAATTCTGCCAAGGAGGTGTCAGTTCAGTACAAGGAAAATCCTAGAATTCTCATATGTGAACCACGGAAGGCAGGCAGCGATGACTGGTCTCCATCGTGGGTTCACTGTGGACAACTGACCCCTCTCCTCTTCCCTGATGAGATTACCAGGCAAGGCAATAGGGAGGGTGCCTTTGCCTACAGCAAGTCCACAGCTCCTGGTCACCTCCTCGTCACGTGGCCAGATGTTTGTGCTGCTGGGTGTGTCTGAAGGTGTCTTGATCTGTGCACTGGAGAGGAGGTACCTCATCACAAACCAAAGTATCCAGCACTTCTCCCTCCATTTTGTATTTTCACTCCCTTCCACTTCCTTTTCCCTCTCTCCTCCGTTAAAACAACTTGGCCAAACCCATCATGGACGAACCCTCCCCCCACTCTGCACGCTCTCCGTTGCCTGAACCCGCAGAGCTGAAGGTTGCTGGAGGGAAGTATTTGGCTTGTGTTAAAATTCAGTCTCAGCCCTCCCGTCAGCATTGCCTGGCTGTTCCTCCTCGTCTCTAGTTTTCTCTCCTGGGCTTCCCTTTCCACTCCCATGATCACTAGCTGATACTTGCTCTCCCCTCAACCTTCACACCTTCTCCTCCATCCTCAGCTCTACCTGCCCTTCGACTAAACTTGTCTTTCCAGCCTGAATCTGGTGACAACAAACCTCTTCCTCGCAGAGCCAGAAAGTGGTTGCCAAGGGCCTACTGAGTATTCAAACCAAACACACACACACACACACACACACACACACACACACACACGAAGATGGGCAGGCCGAGGGGGTGCTCTGCCTGCCCCTGCCCTCCTGCCTTCCCTCTGTGGGAAGGTTGGAGGATACCAGACACCCCAGCACAGGGGATGGAGCTGGGGGCCCCTGGGCCCCTGGGACCTCTGCCCTGCCAGAGACCCCTCCCACCCGCTCCCAAAAGGGTGGGGATGTCACCTTCAGCTGTGGGGAGAAGGAGAAGAGGAATGTCTCGCCGGTTCCGTAGAAGCCTTTGCTGAGTCGGAAAGCCGAGGAGGAGAAGGCCCCAAACATCTGGAAAGCAGAAGAGCGTGTGTTTTACAGCAGGAAGGAAATAGATGATCCTCTGGAAACCCAATTCCCAAGCTTGGTAACGTAGGCTCATCCTAGAGGGGCAAGTGGGGGGCCCGGGGCAGTGCTGGAGGGTGGAGGGCCCCCAAGGGCCCATCTACACACACCCTTTCCTCAGCACCCCCCAGCCCGGCTCACCTGCCCGTCCTGGTCCTTCAGCACCAGCAGCACCGGCCCGCCGTGGCCCTCCATCTGCCGGTACAGGCTCTGCAGACTGAAGCCGTCCCTCGCTGTGCAGAAGGCCAGACTCCAGGAATATCCACTGACTCTCGGGGGGAGGTGGCGGCTGAGCTGGGGACAGGTCTGGAGGTGAGTGGGGGGTCCTCGTCCCCCCAGTCTCCTTTTACTATTGGGGGGTAAGGGGGGGCGCGAGGCCCCAGGGAGGTTAAACAGCCACCACTCACACAAGCAAGGTACTTTACAGTTTACAGAGGAGTTTCCTGTTTCCAAGGGACTTTCACACCTGCCAGGAGTAGCCCCTGAGAGGGACTCTCTAACAGATGAGGCTAGGGGAGGGGATCAGCCCACATGGGGAGCAAGTGGCAGAGTCAGGATTTGACCCAGGTCAGGTCTCTCTTCCCTTGGTCGCCCTGGCCTCTAGTGGCTGGAGAACAGATGAGATGGTGAATCCCTCCTCCTAATCCCTCTGTCCTTAACCTTTCATCCCTCCCGAGGGCTCTTCTACTCAAACGTTAGCTTATTTCCTACACCCTTCACTTGGCCCAGTGCAGGCGGCGACACCGGTGTCATGGATTGTTTGACGGGGGAGAAGGCAGCCAGCGGAGAAATGGCTGGCCCAGGGTGACACAGGGAGCTGGGTTCGGAGCAGGCGTGATCCCAGGAGTCCTTGCCTGGCTGGGAGCGGGATGGGCGGGTGGGACTCTCAGTCTCAGGGCTGACATCCTTGCACCATAAACCAGGCCTCACCTGCCTAATCTCCCAGGCTCCCAGAACCTGGCTGGCTTCTGCCAGCTGGAGCTCCATGGGATCTTCAGGAGCGGGGGCTGGAGCTGGGGCTGCCTCCTTCTCCTCTTCCTCTTCCTCGTCCCCTTCCTCACCCTCCTCTCCAGACAGGGTGTTCTCCACCTGGCTGGGCTGTGAAGACACAAAGAGGCCTAGGGAGATAAGGGAGAAGAGCCACGCGCTCCCACATCTCCCAGGGCCTCAGCCACCCCTGCCCAGGCCCCTACAACCACCAGCCCAGCCAGAGGAGGCCGGGAAGTGTCCGTCACAGACAAGACTCAGTCCCACCAGCCGGCTTCCTCCCGGTACCTGCTGGCCAAGGTTGGAATCGCACACGCCCATCAGCTGTGGCCGTGGGCCCTGGGGTTTGTCCGCCTGTCTGCCCTGGACCCAGGTGGGTGCCAGGGATCCCAGGGGGCAGGGGAGAAGGCAGGTGACAGCCCAGCCCTGGGTGCTGTGTAAGATGGTACATGAGTTATTGATCATAATATATAGTATAAAGAACATTGGTCAGCACACACTTGACCAGGCCGGTGTGAAGTGCTAGCTGTGCATGATCTCTCCGAATTTCCCCAGGAATCCTAAGAATGTGCTGCTTATTATTCCTGTTTTACAAAGGAGACCCCGAGGCTTCCCTGTCAGCCAGTGAAACAATCATGCTGTCGTAGGTGAGGCGTGTGCGGTTTCGTGTAAAATGAGAGATTGTCCACGTGAATGTGTGTGTTCCCTTACAAATAGAGTTGTGTAGGCAAATCAGCGTGAGGCGGTGCTGAGTGTAACTTTGTGTTTACCTGTCAATGTGTTTGTGAGTGTGAGTTGGGATTGTGTAAATATAGGGTGTCCCCCCAACATGTGTACACACTTTGAATGATCATAAAGTTGGTGTTTATTAACATATAGCTCATTTTCAAAATTCAAAAGAATCTATAGAAATGAATAGTTTTTTGTCAATGTCTGTTTTCAAACTGATGACTGTTCTGGTCCAAGCACAGCTGGAAACTCGAAGTAACAGAATTCTAAACATCAAGAATCATTTTAGCCGAAGCCGGTTTGGCTCAGTGGTAGAGCATCGGTCTGCGGACTGAAAGGTCCCAGGTTCGATTCCGGTCAAGGGCACGTACACTGGTTGTGGGCACATCTTCGGTAGAGGGTGTGCAGGAGGCAGCTGGTCGATGTTTCTCTCTCGTCGATGTTTCTAGCTCTCTCTCTCTCCCTTCCTCTCTGTAAAAAATCAATAAAATAAAATAAAAAAAGGAATCATTTTGGCCCGGCAGGCGTGGCTCAGTGATTGAGCACCAATCTATGAGCCAGGAGGTCATGGTTTGATTCCCAGTCAGGGCACCTGCCCGTCTGTGGGCTCGATCCCTAGTGGGCGGTACAAAGGAGACAGCCGATCAATAACTCTCTCTCATCATTGATGTTTCTGTCTCTCTCCTTCTCCCTTCCTTTCTCTGAAATTAATAAAAACATTTTGAAAAGAAAAGAAAAGGATTAATATGCTTGAAAACATTTAATAAAAGAAGAATCATTTTGTTCAGTATTTGTGTGCCCTCAATTGATGGCCTGTTGCTAATTTTTGAAATTTGTCTTTTATGGGTCCCATTAAAAAACAGTCTAGTGAGCTGAAACTGGTTTGGCTCAGTGGATAGAGCGTCGGTCTGCGGACTGAAGGGTCCCAGGTTCAATTCCGGTCAAGGGCATGTACATGGGTTGTGGGCACATCCCCAGTGGGGGGGGGGGGGGGTGTTTAGGAGGCAGCTGGTCAATGTTTCTCTCTCATCGATGTTTCTAGCTCTCTATCCCTCTCCCTTCCTCTCTATAAAAAAAAATCAATAAAATATATTTTTAAAAAAACAGTCTAGTGGCATTTTAGGATAAATTTTCTTTGTTTAATTTAAAGCTTAGTCTGGCTTCACCCATTATTTCAAATCAGATAAACCTGGACCGGAGTGAAAGTTAAGTGAATTATCAGTTGTTAAAGTGTGCATACATTTTGGGGGGATACCCTATATATGTACTGGTATGTGGGCCCGGGGGCATATATGTTATTATATTCATTATATTCATTCATTCATTGGAGCTTCCACTCTGTTTCAGACATTGCTTTCCTATGTCCCAGGTTCAGGCCTAACGAGGGGGTCCTAGTTGGATGGGGCTTCTGGACAGAGCTCCGTCGAGCACCCACTCGAGGGAGGAAGGAACGGAACAGCAGTCTGTGCTCCATGGGGGCCTGGGAGCGAAGGCCCTGAGCTCCTGAGTTTGTGCTTTGAACCCCAGGCCAGCTAGGGAGGGACTTGGCAGAGGAACAGATCCCCTGCCTGCATTCCTCCCTCGCTCAGGCCCCACCCTGCCAGCGAGCTTACCTCACACCCAGCCCACGCTGGCCCCTTACCAGCCTAGTGTACCGCCAGCGAAGTCCTTTCATTCTCCCTTCGGATCCAGCCGCCAGCGGTGAGCGGTGAGCGGTGAGCGGTGAGCGGTGAGCGGTGAGCGGTGAGCAGTGAGCGAGGCCTCGTCCTGCCGGGAGGAAGCGCCCCTGGGCGAGGCTGACAGACGAGAGGTGGAAGTCTGGGGCACACCTGGCTTGCTCCTTGCCCACCCAGCTGCCCTTTGCTCACTCTCGCCTGTCACTCCCAGCCTGAGGCGTCACTGGGTGTGTCTGTGGGCGTGTCAGCTGCACTCGACATTCCCGGTCTCACTGGCCTGTTGGTTGTGAACACGGTAGCCGCACACAGTAAATTCTGGAGTGTCCCTCCTGCCTCCTTGCCCTTCTAGCAGTCTGGCCGGGGAACTTTGGACAAGTCCCTGCACCCCAGGCCTCACTTTCCCCACAGGTAGCCTGGAGGGCCAGATCATTTCAGAGGCCCTCGTAATACGGACAGCCTGCGATTCAGTTCCCTCTTCAAGCTCACGAGTGCACCATAACAGAGGAGGGCTGCCAAGGCCAAAATCGGATTATGAAAAACAACAAAAAACAGAAGCAGCAGTACATGTGAATTTTTGTAGAAAATATGAGGAATCCAGACATTAATTAAAAATATATAAAAATATGCATACCAAAATAAAAAACAATAAAAATAATAATAAATAATTTTAAAATTAAAAATATGCATACCTCCATTTCTCAGAGATAAACTCTCAACCCCAGGGGTATTTTTTCTAATCTTTTATATTTGTTTCATAAACCTATATATACACATATTTATAAATAGATCACTCCCATGTATAGTTTTAGAAAATGCTTTTTCCACTTAACAAATGAGAATTTCCCAAGAACATGCAGTACCCTTTGAACATATGCTTTTAATGGCTGCTTATTATTTCATTGTAGGATGTACATAATTTTTTCCCAAAATTTGCTTCTAATTTTCTGTGATTAAAAGGAAAACTATAATGAATTTCCTTATTCATAAATCCATTTATACCCTTTATGATAAATTTCCAAAGTTGAATGCTGGATCAAAAGGTATTATACACATAGGTGCTTTTTTTTTTTTTTTTAATAGATTTTCATTGATTTCACAGAAGAAGAAAGAGGGAAAGAGAGATGGAAACATCAGTGATGAGAGAAAATCGTTGATTGGCTGCCTCCTGCAATTCCCTACTGGAAATAAAGCCTGCCACCCGGGCGTGTGCCCTTGGCTGGAAGGGAACCTGGGACCCTTCAGTCCGCAGGCCGGTGCTCTATCCACTGAGCCAAACCAGCCAGGGCACACACAGTTCTTGATAAATGTTTCCAAAAAGGTTTCCTGATGTTTAAAGCTGATCCAGGAACCTTTAGGGAATCTCAGGGCAATATCTTACACCCTGGAACTGGGATAAGGAAACTGCCCCTCAGAAAGCAGAAGGGACTTAGCCACACGATAGCATAATACGGAGGTTAAGAGCACAGGCTTCGGAGTCAGAGAGTTCAAATCCTGGTTTTGCCACTTGCTGTGTGTCCGTGGGCAAGCACTAGTAACCTAACAAGTCTGTGCTTCTGTCTCCTCATCTGTACAACAGCTGCCTCATAGGGCTGTTGTAAGAGTCAATGAAGCTAACACCTCAAGAACTGGGATGCTAAGCCAGGCCTCCATCCTCTGGCTTCACCTTAGTGAGATAACCCACGGTGCCTGGTGTTTGGCGAGCACAGGATAAATGACAGTGCTTCTGCTACCTTGCTCTCTCCCTCTCTCTCACGCCCCCACCCCACCCCCAACACACACACTGCTTCTTTGAGAGAACCAGGGCTCAAATTCCTGTCAAGTGGCCACTCAGTCTCCACTTGGCACCTCTGGGACAGATAGTCACTCTGTTACTCTTGGGGGCGAGGCAGGGACCATGGAAAGGTACTCACCCTGCCGGACTAAACTCCTGGTGCCAGACTAAACTCCTCCAGCCGGGCAGCCCAGCGGCTTCCGTAGGGCCTCTCCCAGTCTTCCAGAGAGGGGCCCGCTTCCAGAACCGACCCTGCCCACCAGCGGGCCGAATGCCGCGCGTTAGCTCTGCACCCCGGTGTCCCCGCAGGTGGCTGGCACCTCCGCCTGGCCCGGCTCCAGGTCCTCTTTGGCTCTTATACTTGTCCTGAGGGCGGCAGGCCCTGGCGCGGTGCCTGCTCCAGTTCCAGCTGGGGAGGCCTGGCAATGATTATCATCTATCAGAAACTCAAACCCCACAAACACACACACACACACAAACAAGACCTGGCACACCCTGGCCTCCGGCCCTGCCCCCGCCAGCCCAAGGGGTGGGGACGCTGAACTGAGACGGAACCTCTCACCTCAGCTACCAGGTGTCACCTGGAGCCTAACACCTGCCACCCAGGCCCTCTTCTCATGGGGCATAAATGCTACGGGAAAGGGTTATGTTGTGGGGTTCTCCCCCTGCAGCCTGGACTGCCCCTCCTGGTCCCCTCTGTTAGACGGGTGATGATCCTTTCCTCGCCGGCCTGTCCTGACATGAGGTGACAGCATGCACAGGAAGCCCAGCGTTGGGCACACAGTAGGCACTCCCATCAGTGGGGGATTACTCCTTTGGCCCCAGCTCACAGTGGGGCTTCGGTGAATGCTGCGCTGTTGAATCCCAGAACCTCAACGTTGGAAGGGGTCTGGGCCAGTCCCAGAGCATGAGGCCTCCACCCAGGGCTGGCTCTGTGGAAAACATCCCTCTGCTGGGCACATGAGCCCACTATCTCACCCACTCTGTCCTCACATGGCGGAGAGACGCGCTCCTGCTGGGCTTTGTGGAGGGCACTGGGTCCCTGGAGACTCTGCCCATGGTGAGATGTGCTGGGGCCGTGCCCCCTCGGGGAAGGGGCAAAAGGACTTCTATTGTGGGGGAAACAGGCAGGCGAAGGGCCCTGTTGTCACCTCAAACATGGCTGTTGCAATACGTGTTTAAACTGTAAACGGTTCCGTGGTCACACACCAGGCCCTCCCTCTTCCCCGGGGCCCTCTCCCCACCTTCATCCTCCCGTGCTCCGCACCTGAGCCGGCGGCGCTTGGAGAAGCCAGAGGTCCTCGCTTTGGTGTTCATTCTCTGTCCTCGGGTCCAGGAAAGCCCAGCATGTGAGCTGTCAGCAACGCCGATTCCCATGCCTCCCTGATGGGGTCCCTTATAGCTCTGCCTCGTAACGTAGTCGCTGTCTTCGTAACCAGACACACGCCACCTCTTTCCGCACGGCAGCAGCCATCGCCAGGAAACACTGGAAATGTCCAGTAAAAGGGGGAAGGGTTAAAGGACCCACAGAACACCCACTCCGTGGATTATTTCTGTTTTAAAATCGATGTTTGCAAAGAGTTTATAAGGCACGGGAAATGCTGCTCCTGCCCGGTGAAGTGTAAAACAGCGGATATAAGGTTGTGTGTGCAGCATGGTTTCAGCTCTGCCGACCCAGCCGGCCACGTTTGTAGCATAGTTTGGTGTCAGGTAGTGTGATACCTTCAACTTTGTTCTTCTTTCTCAAGATTGCTGTGGGTAGTCGGGGTCTTTTGTGGTTCCATATAAATGTTAGGATTATTTGTAGAAACAGGATTCTTAATTCCTAGTTCTAGGCCAGTTTTTTTCTCCCTACACAGCCCGAGGTGGTCCCCTGGATTTAAATACCGTTTAAATGTTGATGACTCATCATGACCTCAGACCAGCAGCCACCCTGGCTTCCACACTCATATGTCAATTGCCTTTGTGTTCTCTACTTGGGTGTCTCTGTAAACATCTCAAACGGGATGTGTCCTAAAAGCACTGTTTTTTTCCTCCTCCAACTGGTCTCTCTCACCCCCGACAACCTCCAAGCCTGTCCTGCCTCATTAAATAGTGCCATCATTCATCCTGAAACTAAAGCCGGGAACTGGGAGTTGAACTTAACTTCCTTTCTCTGATCGCTCACTTCCAGCCAAGGGTGTCTGACTCTTTGAAGCTCTAGAACATCTCAAGACTACCCTCTCCTTTCCTTCTCCGCTGCCTCTGCCCTCACCCATGCCACCATTCTCTCTCAGAGGCTGGTTCAGTAGCCCTTGACCCATCTTCTAGCCTCTGTTCTTGCCAACGGCTGGTGTGATCGATTTAAAATACAAATTAGATTAGATCATGCCCCTGCTTACAATCGTCAACGGCTCATCACGGCATCAAAAATAAACCCCTGTCGCCCAGCCAGCATGACTTAGTGGTTGAACCTCAGCCTATGGGTCAGGAGGTGACGGTTCCATGCTCGGGTTGCGGTTTGTGGGCTGGCTCCCTAGTGGGGGGGGTGAAGGAGCCAGGCAATCAGTGATTCTCTCTCATCATTGATGTTTCTCTCTCTCTCTCCCCCTCTCTGAAATCAATAAAAATAAACCCCTGCCCAGAGCATGCCTTGCTCCTGCTGTCCACTCCAGCTTTCTATAGATTGTCTTTCTTCCATCACCCATCAAGTTCCAGTCACTTTGACCTTCTCATTTTCTTGAACATCTGTCAAGCTTGCTCCTCCTTCAGGTTCCCCTACTAATTCCTCTAATTGTCCCTAGGCCAGTTTTTTTTTTCACGATGGATATAATGAAAAACACACACAATCACCTCCTCTGAGAAGGTTTCCAGGACTTAATCTCTATTTAGTTTCCATTATGTTGGTCATTTTAGCATCTTCGAGGAGAGAAAACAAACTTTTCCCACTGGGTAGTCAGCATCCTCATTTTTAACCATCTGTTAGAATTATTTTCTTCTGATATATTCTTATTGCTTAAAAGATATAAATAATGTATTGCTCCATGCCTTCTTTTCTTTTTTTTTTTTGTAATATATTTTATTGATTTTTCACAGAGAGGAAGGAAGAGGGATAGATAGCTAGAAACATCGATGAGAGAGAATCATTGACCAGCTGCCTCCTGCTCACCCCCCACCGGGGATGTGCCTGCAACCAATGCACATGCCTTTGACTGAAATCAAACCTGGGACCCCCCAGCCCGCAGACCGACGCTCTTTCCACTGAGCCAAACCGGT